GAAAACATATTGTTTCATCGATTCCGCACTTCTTCTCACGCTGTACACGCAAATTTTTAGAATACATTTTTCGTAAATTATTCGTGAATTCCGATCGATATACCTAAGCCTATTGAGAATTAAAAAAAAAAATACAATGCACGTTTATCGTATTCGTCTTCTTCCGGAAGCGACGTCGCTTTCTGTATATATGTGGGCTTCGCGCGAAATAAGAACCCATTCCAACGCCAACGCGAGTCTCTCTCCTTCGTCTTGCATTCCCGCACGTTTTTCAGGCGTGGCTACATGTATAATATACGCCAGTGATTTATTGCTACGAGACGCCGATTCGACTTTGAACTCTCTTTTTTTTTTTTACATATATAGGTACATTTACGGTATATATGTGCAAACCCGATTATTTGCATTTGAATTGGATCTGTGTGTTATTTAATGGATGACGATGTCGTAAAAAAAAAATCAAGCAACGAAATGACGAGCAGGGCAAAACGTTCGTCTACTCGATTTCTAATTTGACAGTCAAATTCACGCGTATAAATGTATATGTGTGTTGTATTTTAATGTATAAGCTCCTTTTCGACATTTGTACTTGCAATCTATACCGAGGATTTATGGTTTGTAATCGATTACTTTATACGTATGTATTTCGTCGCGGTGCCAAAGTGTGTCAACCAAATTTATATAACTGTGACGAATGAAGATGAAAAAAAAAAAAAAAAAAAGGAAGAGAAAACACGTTTCGTGAGCGTTTTTTTACGTTTGTGGGTGTGCATCATCAGAATTTGTGGGCCGATCTTGTTTGATTCACAATCAGATATCGTCGGACGAGGAGCGCGTATTTATTCCCCCATATATATTATTACACTCACTTGACGGTGCCTCTCGAAAATTGGACAATAATAAAAGGCCATCGCAGAACATCAAAACGTACACATAAGTGAAAGACACCGCTCGTCCTCCACCGGATAGGAGAAAAAAAAAAAAAAAAAAAACGTTTCATACATATTTAGGCGACAACAACGATAAAGCGTTAAAAGAACGAGATGTGCCTGTCGACGACGACGGAGAAAGTGTCGCGCCGATGTAAGCGGAAGCTGAGCGCGCGCAAGAGTATCGACTAGTTCGGTATATAGGTATATATATAGAGAGAAGTCATACGTAATGGACCAGCCAAGTGGTGGGCAGATGCTTACATTACAGATACATCAGCTCTTGCTGCAACGATGCTTCATATATTTATGTATTGTTGTTTAGTGTATTGTCCTCGGTTGCTCAGCCCGCGTTGGATCTTCTTCTCTACCTCTCTATATATACATTGTCGCGATCTTTAATCTCTCGTTTGGCTACCCATATAAAGGTGCTTTTCAAAAATATTCCCATCCATGTATATAAATATACTCGTTGCGTAATTCATTGCTATTATCATAATCGTTTATTTTCTCTTCTCGGCGAAAAAAATTACGTAAAATTCTAATGAGCTGTAATGCATACGTTCGACCGCACATTGGGGATTTGACGTGAAAATCATTACCCCCGCCGCCGCGTTTGCAAAGAAACGTCTCCCGATTAAGTATAATGATAATGTTTAACCGAACAACATGATTTTCAATTTCCACTTTAACGAGGACGAATAAAGTGCTCTCGGGAAGAAACAAAGTTGTTTACAACGACACGACTATACCTACAATGTTCTACGGCTATGGCTAATGTATATATACACATATACATAAAGTTTAGCAAAAAGTAACTTTTTCCAACAGTAAGTATTAGCGCGAAAGTAAGTTGTAAGTGAAAGAGGTGACTGTGTTGCAGCTACAACCTGCAATTTTACACCCTACTCCGAACGAGAGGTACAAAGTTTAGTGTTAAGCGCGTAAGTATAAACTATGTACGAGCATGACCACAAGAAAAAAAAAAAAAAAAAAAAAAACGTCATACATGCGTGTGTAACATATGCATCGGAGCATCTGTTTATTGGTATTAATGTATACCTGAACTTTCCACTAACATAACTGGCAAACTATAAAAACACGGATCAGATTAAAATTATACAATCACACACGTGAATATAAGCAATATAGTGACAGCCTGCATGATTAGTTATTTAAACCCAACAAATTAATTGTTATACCTTGATGTAATTTGTGATTCAAGTCAGGCTCTCGGTGCTTATCATCATTACTAGGCACTATAGGATTGTTTATCTGGAAACAAAGCTGCTCGAACTTATCGATTCATAGAATGTATTTTTAGTTGGTATATATGGAAGAAGTTGTGACTCGGAAACAAATAAGACCTAAGACGGGGAAAAAAAAAAAAGGTTTCCATCTTCAAATGAAATATTCAAAGTGCACGTATAGAGCAGTGGTGGCACATATTATAACCCTATGTACGTATGATACGTACATAATAAGCACGGGCATAAAAATAAAACACGTGTTTCCATGCGCCGTATATATATTATACCCACGCGGTTGAAACATTCATGCGAGATTGCAAATTTTATCGGGCGGTGTGCGCGGCAAATAATCCTCCGTGAAATGCAAATACTATCACGAACGCGCACATTTTTATTTTTTCATGCGGACACTTGTACATGTATATATATATATATACACATGCAAACTTATGACGGAGAATTTAATGATTCACACCAGGTGGGAGTGTATATAAGATAACGACACATGGGTAACAAATACCTAAGCGAGTTTATTTTAGTTCTTCTCCCCTCCCCCCCCTCAGGTGTTGTTGTACATTACGTACCGATAGGTATGTGAATAATTTTTTCGGAAAAGCGCGAGATTTTTCCAAACGAAGAGCGGTTTTGACAGCCCGAGTGGTGAATAATGCGCACACTGTCTCGCGAGGCACTGGCAGGGATCCAGTGAAATTTGTTTTGGTTTCGAGCCGGATGCAATTATACATGCGTTCGAGAGCATCACTATAACGCACACGCGTGGTATTCTTTTTTTTTTTTTTTTTTTTTTTCAAAACCCGCCCGCATCGAGATTCCGGGAGGCTGTGTGTGTTGTACCTCTGGGTTACGTCTGGGACTCGATGAGTTTGTTGAATGATATTGTACACGTATCAAGATTAATATTGGAATCTCAAGCGAGTTGAATCATCGAGTGACGAGTTTTGCGAATCCTAGGCTATATTAGTGGTTTTTCCTCGGTGTCAGTCTGTCGGAAATTATACCTTGGATTCACCAGAGTTCATCCGATTGAACCGCGTGGGTCCAACAAAGCTCGCTGTACAATAATTACACCTTCAGCTTCCAGAGCAACTGCGCACCCAAACGTGTACATTCGACAATAAGAAAAAAAAAAAAAAAAAAAAGTGTTGATTTGATTTTTTTTTGTGGCTGGAAAGATGAGGGGAGTATTAGGTAAAGGAATGAAAGGTATACCAAAGTATGGCGGGGGAGGAAGAGATAAAGAGGGAGAGAGAAAAAGCAAAAAAAAAAAAAAAAAAAAAAAAAAAAAAAAAAAAAAAAAAAAAAAAAAAAAA